GGTTTGAAGTAGTTACACATGACATTTGTTGCTTGCTTTTATCAAAACAAGCTCAAGGAGGAGATTGTTAAGAAACCAGCTTTCTTAGATTACACTTATCGATTTGACCTATAGCACTTCAAGCTGTATCCAACTTTAAGTCTCTATGGCAGCCTAAAAGTGTTTGCTTGCAACTTATTTTGATGTATAATAACATGACAGTTATTGAAACAAGTTGAAGAAACCTGGATTCAAATCCAATGCATGCTTTTTTTCCAGTAGGAATGGAGATCTTTACCCTCACGGCCCGTCCACACGGCGGCGTGCGTTGAAGCTTCAACGCTTCTGCCCATTCACTTTGAATTGTGTGACGTCGGACTTTGCCGAACTGCATTGTGGGAGCGTCGCTTCGCTCGCGTTGCTCGCTTCAAAAGTTGAGCAATGTTCAACTTTTGAAGCTTCGACGGAAGCGTCAGCCAATCTAATCATATGCCAGTACAAGCTCTAGCCAATCAAACCGCGTGCCCTTGTGTGGGGCGGGAGATTCATGTGATTGGTTGTTGGTCGAGTTTCAGACACGCCCACCTGCAAGCTTCAACGCACGCTGCCGTGTGGACGCTGGTCTATGCTAGTGTAGAATAATAAATAACATTTGTATTAGTATAGCACCCTTTCATGCAAGGACGCAGCCCAAAGCGCTTAATAGAACACGCAGAAAAACACGACAACAATATTAAAATGATGAATAAATGAACTTGCTAAAATGCAATAAATCATGAAAAATGATACCTGTTAAATGTTCCTGAATTAAAAGCCATAACAATATAATGAAAAAGCTAAACAAAACAGAAAGAGGTTGATTACAATACAAACAAAAAAATGATATCAGTCAAATTAGACCAAGTTAAAAAATCTTTATGATCTTTAATTTATTTAAAAAAATGCTAAGATAGTTTTCTGTTCTAAGAGGATGCTGTTCCACAATGTTGGAAATTGTTCTGAAGTAGAAACGAATGATTAAAGTGGAGTCCATTTGCTGGTGAGCTTTTACTGTATTTCTCAAAAGTCTCTTTATACACGGCACCTCTTCTCTCTGAAATGTGTGTCTGGCGATCAATGAAACCCTGCAATTTCACTGGATTCCACTCTGGCTTTACATGTAGGGACAGGCTCTGTGTCTTGTGTAACATGCACGATGTATGGCGTGTGTGTTGTTGTGTCATATTCAGACACTTCCTAATTGAGGACCTCTGGGGCCTCGGCTCTGAACACACCTGTGGCCCCGATCGTTCATGTAGCTCTCTAAAATGTGGCCCTTTTTTACATTATATCCTGTATTTTGATAAATCAGATCAACATGCAAGTCATAGCAGTATCATAATGTGTTTTAAGTGACCACTTGCCTGTTTAAACTAAGGCGTTTGCTACACTTACAACATATGTGTATTTATGGGCTTTCCATGTACTTAAAGGGGCCATATTCTGCTCATTTCCAGGTTCATATTAGTATTTAGTGTCTCTACTGTGACATGTCTCCATGCTTTAATGTTCAAAAAGCTGTGCTGCAGCTCCTCTTTTCACCCTCTGTCTGAAACCAGAGCCCAGTCTGCTTTGATTGGTTAGCTGGCCGGCTCTGTTGTGAACCGCTTAGAGATGTTCCGCCCCTTATCCAATCACATGCAAGGTGTTGGAGCGCTAGCCAATAGAAGCGTGAGTGTTGCGTAGTGATGTCATTATGTCCAAGCTATAAATCAACGACTTTTATATAAATCAATGACTCGGGCAAGGATGGAGTTTTTCGGAGAGAAACTCCCTCTGGAGCATTTACAGACCATTGACATGCACATACATATATAACACACTACAGCAGTGTTTCTCAAACTTTTTCATACCAAGGACCACTTAACCAATAAAAAAACACTCGCGGACCACCTAACTCCACAAATATCCAAAAACACATCGTTTTTTACAAATCGCCTGAAAATGGTACAAACAAGTGGCCACATGTGTGATGAAGGTGTTTATCTGGGCTATATCATGCAATCGAAAGTGAAACTTAAGCTCGCTCCATTGCGGAGATATTCCCGCGAGAGTGCGGAAAACTTTAATTTATTTATTTATTTCAAATGTGAAATTTTACCAATATACTCACGGACCACTAGGGGGCGTTCACGGACCACCAGTGGTCCGCGGACCACACTTTGAGAAGCACTGCACTACAGGAAAGGGAAAACCCCCAAAAGCATAATAGGACCCCTTTAAATGGTGGTTGCTTGTCACAGTATTTGTTGTCTTGACCATTCAGAATTGTTTACAAGAGGAAAAAGGTGTTATCTTTTCTTGTGGAAGTCATTAATTTGATGTCAGAAAACAACACATGAGTTTCACTTCATTTCCTTTGGTTCGGTCGTTAGGATTTGACATCGAGGGCAAAAAACACATTTGACAAACAATCTGTATTACTCATTGGAGTGTAAGGGCTTGCCCTCTCCTGCTTGCAAACAATAAAAAACATAATTTGTACCTGATGTATTTGTAAAGAAAAGATGGTGTAATTGGGCTAGCATTTGTCCTTTCTGGTGCTTTTATCTCCGTCCAGCTGGTTCCTCACGCCAAGCCTGTAAACACAGACTCAGACAGAGCGGGTCATGATACGGCTGCCTGTCGGTCAGCAAGTGGATGTATCACTAACAAGTTGTGTGTTGAGTTCAAACAAGAGCACAGAAAGATACAGCAGGCTGTCCGCGGGGTCTTAAAAAGTATTAAAAGTTGATAAATCAATTTAGCGAAAATTAAGGCTATTAAAACAGTGCTTCTCAAACTTTTTTCAGTAATGTACCCACTTTGAAACATTTTCTCAGCCAAGTACCCCCTGACCGACCCCGAACATTTTTGATAGAAAAGGCCTATAAATAATTATAATATAGTGATGTTCCCTCAGTGTGTGATTTATTAACTCCTTCATGCATGAATTACAACAAACTAAGCATATTTTCATCTTGATGCATGAGAACGAAAACAAATTAAAACAGATTTTTCAATTGAAGTAATTAGTGCTGTCAAAATTATCGCGTTAACAGCGGTAATTAATTTTTTGAATGAATTGCGTTAAAATATTTAACGCATTTAACGCATGTGCAGAATGGCCCGCCCCATACGTGCCACCAGTGGCAGCGCCAGGGTATGGCTGGGGTAGGCTACACCATGGGCTACACCCATACCAAGAAATGGCTTAGCCCCACCATGAGAAATGATGTTAAAGTAAGCAAAATAAAGTCTGCCAACTCGCGGAGTAAATTGCACAGACAGCAGTTAGTAAGATTGATTTCAGTAGCCACGGTTTTGAAAACTTTTGTCACGTAGTGATCGTCTTCTCAATAGAACATCTTTGATAATGGCGTGGTGTTGTTGCAGGAAGTCCCGACGGAGAATACTTTTGCTGTAGTACAGGGGTACACATAACTGGTACGCAGGTCATGTGCGTAATCTGAAATGCGTACCGTCACTTGTGAAATGCGTCACTTGTGTCACAAAGCGCATTTGCGTACCGACGTACTTGTGAAGCTTTTCCAGCAGGTGGTTCGATCACCGGACGACAGAGTCGGTCTCCGTGTGCACAGACAGGGCTGCTGTTAACGTCGGTCTGTACAACGGAATTGTGCCAAAACTACGCCAACCGGCTGCGGAGGGAGACTCCCCCCCTTCACTGGAGAACTGCGCTAAAACAGCTGATCACAACGTTCACACTCTGTGGTCACGAAGTACTCCACTAGCCGCCGCCGCCCCCCCCCCCCCCCCCCCCCCCCCCCCCCCCCCCCCTCTGTCGACTTTCCCGAAGTATTCCCCCGTTGATAGAAATCAACACGTAATGAATTAAGACCCCACGGTTTGATGATTGATAGGTGTGTGGGTTGTCTTTCATTTTGACACGCAGAAAAATGTTATAATAAACATAGATACTGTATGTTAAATGGATATATCCGCCTTCTTTCATTTATCTTTCCATTCCCACAACAATATATGTAAATAAATGGCATATTTTGGACATAGTTCGAATGGTGATTAATCATGATTAATTAATTTTTAAACTGTGATTAATCTGATTAAAAATGTTAATCGTTTGACAGCCCTAGAAGTAATATATGTTTAACAAACCAATGAACAAATTGATTATGCAAAAACTATAAAATACAATACACACATTTGACATGTTTATATGAGGACCCCCTTGGTGGTTCTAGGAATATTTTATATACAATTGTGTTTTCTATTTAACTTATTGTACTAAGATTATTTTTGTAATCATGCGTGGTGTTTTTTAATTAACCTTTTTCTTTTGAATCTCACGTGCCCCCTGCAGTACCCCAACGTACCCCTAGGGGTCCGCTTACCCCCATTTGAGAATCACTGTATTAAAAAATATTAAACGGCATTTTCCAAGGTATTACATGTTGTAGCTTGTTTTCAATAAGTACATAAATGGTCCAAAGAGGTTGTGTTCTACAGTGTGCCTGAATGTAATCATTGCGTAGGTGTGTAGTGTGATTCTGTGTAGTTTATTTATGGCATCCCGTTGGGTTTGACGTCATCTGAACAGGACATCGCACGCTCACTGCTTGATAGCGTGCAAAGGTCCGTTTACGCCGGTTGCTAAGCAACATCGTTATGGGGAAATGCAAGTTTGCGTCCAAATGGTTGGAAGATAAGGAGGAAGGACAATCAATACTGTATATAGTCAATGTGAGGTAAAGTGTGTTGCCAAGGTAACCGGTTAGAACTCCAAGTGGCGATGAGGTCTTAAAATGTATGGAACGGGTCTTAAAAAAGGTCTTAAAAGGTCTTCCATTTGACTTCAGCATTCCTGCATATACCCTGTACAGGTTAAAAGCAAGATCTGAACCTGAGTAAAACAAGACATATTGCGGCCTTATCGAAGTGATCTCTTTATCTACAACTCTTTAAATCTCTCTCTATTAGGCACATGAATCAGTTCTTCTTATCTAGTTGTTTTATTTTCAAAGACACCTGCCCCAGGAAAAGACAAACCCCAGGCTGGCCCGTCTAAATCTCCCTCTCTGACAGAGATTAAGAGCAAGTTGTCAACGGCCGCCAAGGAGGTAAGGCTGTCATCCTCCTTTTTGCAAATGACCTCTCTTAATTGAATGTGTGACGCAAGGCTAAGCTGATGATTTAATGGCCCTTTGTCCATCAGGGGAAACCACTACCGAAGACCGAGCAGAAGTTTGAAAATTACTTGAAGAGCTGTTTTAAAATCGCAGACCAAAAGGTAAGTAATCACGAGTCATTTGATGTATTTTGTATACGATATAGTTATTGATTGCACATGGTTTTGAGAGCCCTGATTACGAGGCATCTGAGGCTGGTCTTTGTTTAATTCTAAGACCCATGTTTTAACTTGTATACCTCTTGCATCATATGTGCAATTTATACTAATATCCTGCTTTTTTGCCGATGCGATCTTAGCATAAAATCTCATAACCGTCAGAAGTTTGGTTTGAAGCCACGCTCACATTTATATCAACCTTCGTCCCAAGTTTTAAGAGCTTTTTGCCTTGATAGATGCCCAGGAATGCATCATGGTTCCTCACACTGTCCTCATACTGTCCACTTTGCCCCAAATGTCTCCGCAGCACAGTGTGTTCTCTTTGAATTATATTCATTTTGTGTCAGCGGGCTCTCTTGAGATGGAATGGGAGTACACCTGCCAGGGCGAACTCTTTCTCCGTGATTTACTGGCGTGTGTGTGTCTTTTGTAGCCTTAATGAAGGGACTGGCGGTATGTGGATGGTACCAGTCTCTTTCACATTCAAGGCCTTTTGACCAACCCGACCAAAAGGTTTTTTTTTCTTAAGGCAGGACTTAAATCTTTTCTAATGCTGCTTGTCATTTCAGAACAAAAACAAGAGCCCCCTGCACTTTGTTTTGCAGAGCATGGATGAATCACCCTTTAGATTATCTCCACAAACTCTGTAATTAAAGGCCGTGTGTCGGATAACAAAGCTGTGTTTTCTGTATCAAAACATCTGCAGGGAGTCAACCACTGGAAAACATGAATGTGTGTGTATGTATACAATGTACAGTTATGAGAGCAGGTGAAAGCTCTTTAGTGCGGCACAAGGGCTGGGTGGACAGGGGAAAGAGTGGGGGGGGGGGCGCTTGTTGATCCCAGTGTGTAGAAACATCTGTGGAAGTGCTTTGGTTTCATCAGCCAAGCCTGAGATCTGTCAGACCTGGAGCACCTAGTCATATACTCTGGTATGTACTGTTGCCCCCACCCAACCCCTCGTCGTTCCCCGGCTAAACTCAGCGTTCCCACAGGCGAGACACACAGAAATCATGCTGTAGTCAAAGTGAGTCATAACTCTAATGCGCTGTAGCACTTCATTTGGACGATTTATCATTTATTTTCTATTCTGCTTTTACCCCTCCCCTCCCCCTCCCCTTTTCTCTATATCTTCCTCAGGTGGTCAAGGACCTTTGGAGTTTTGTAAAAACACTGAAGATTGAAAAGAAGTAACACACGTTGTTCTTTTGAAGCATTTGTATGTTTTGCCTCCTGCAAGACATTTAAAGGCACAGTCTGCGAGATTTCCTCTTCGGCCTTATTAAGTGTTACTGAAAAAGGGGTAACGCCGTTAGTGATTCAGGGGTCATTTTCAGTAGTTTAGATGTGAAGCACCTTTTTGGAGCTAGTTCATAACTCACAACCTCGCTCATTCATGTTTATAAGCTGTCCACTTCATCGCAATCTGCACCACTTATAGGCAAGGAAAGGAACTGCACACGCCTTTAAGAAGCTGCATGTGAATGTTGCTCAACATGCTGCAATTATTCATATGTACGCCGCCTGCATGTAATAAATGTTGCACATGCATGATTTTATTGATGCAATAAATAACAACGTCATTACATATTCAGAGCCAAAGATCAAATCTGGTCAACTAGGTAATTTGTTCAGGCACAAACGGAATATCTTTAACCAAAAGGAGCGGCCAAAGACATCGAATCTGATGCTTTTGCACCTAGATGCAGCAACGATTGTCGATGTGCAGCTATAGAAATGAAAGCGATTGCACAAAGTGAAATTGTCAAACTACTTCCTTTCCTTTCCTGTAGAAAGTGAGATGACGCCATTTTTCTTCACGTATAGGTGACGCATGTTGCAGACTGCTGCTTTCAGGTGCTTTGCGTCCATGACACTTGTTAAGTGTGTCCTTGTTGTTAAGTCAACAATGCAATAGGAGATATTGCAGAATGTGCCTTTAAATCTCTCTACTGTTAACTGAGATACATCAGAGTCAGATTACATGGGAATTAAAGCAGCAGTATACACAAGGATGGTCAAGACAGCTGATGCAGAGGGACTGACGATGTTTTACTTTTTAAAGTTTTGTTTAGTTATCTTAGCTTCTGTCAGGCTTAAAGAAACATATTTAGCTTGCAAAGCGTGCTTGAAGATTGTACTTTTAATTTGTGCGGTATAATTGCTTTATACATATTGTTTTAAAACATGTATTGGAGTAAGGTGAGTCCATTTTATTTTTAAATTGTCTTATAGTTTGGTCATTACTGCAGCTAAACATGCATTAACGTTTTTTTACACTAAGGGGTTACCTTTTTCTTTACTGCAGCGAGAATATTCAACTGTTTAAAATCATTTCAGTGAATCTCAATATCAAACGTTAAGATTCATATACAATGATGAATGTGTACTTTACTAGTGTTACATATATTATCACGTTAATCTGTTCAGTAAACAAGAAATAGGTTATTTGTGTTTTTACGGAGAACACCTGACATTTCTGGATGAGGGTCTGTCGTTTGTTTTTTACTTTTAAATGTAATTCTGGTTAAATTAGTCTGCACTTGCACACCTCGTTTCAAATGGCCTTGTTTAAGTAGACATTTCAATCTCCTTACCTTCTGTGATAACCTGAGAGGGTTTTAATGACCATGATATTATAAAATCATCTGTAGCAAACAAGGACACAAAGCATTCTTGAATATTATGAGCTCTATAAAAGCTGCCCTGACTTAAACTCCTTTTCTTTAAAGTAATATACATTAAATACAAAAAGGCAAATAGATTTGTTAACGAGCTCCAGGAGTATATTTACGATGTGCTAATCATACCTCTTCAGTGCATTTGAATGAACTGGTTACAAGCCTATGAAGGCAGATTATCTTATTTATTACAACATAATCATAAGGTATAGATCAGAAAATAACAGTAACATCACGTCACATTTACAGAAAACGCTGTAAAGAAAACTCAACCGCATAATTGTTCACACTCTTCTATATCAGTGCCCTGATGAGCATACATCGCCCCGTGCTTATGTGTTTATGGTCCTGTATAATGGGTTTTATGAGACAAATGTTGGCAGCAGGAGACCATCGCCAACCAATTAAATCGCTCGGTTAAACCCTCTGGTTCTCTGTAAAGGATATTTCAAATTCCTTAGCTGTAAACGTTCATTCTTCTTTAAAGTCGCCTGTATAATGTTCTTAATATCAGAATTTGAATATCGATAATATCTTTTAATAGGAGCAAGATGCCATCCCCAGGATTGATTTGATTAACTTCTTCCCTTCTATCAAACTAAACAGACTTCTTCCTGTAAATACATTATTAGTTCTGTTATTTACTAGTACGGCAGCTGAACAGATATATTTGTATGTGTATGATTAATCCGCCCTTTGCTAATAGCTTGTTTTGTAGCTTGGATGTGTTTTCATGGTCTTCATTTGAAATGTGTTTTAGTTAGGTGTGAAAGTGTTGAATTTTAAAACCGTCTTTGTGGGTAAACATGTTTGTTTTGTTTTTCTTTCATTTTAATCCTACTGTTTTCTTTCTTTTGATTATGTAATTTGAAAGCCATCGCCTAAATGTGCTGTAGGAAAAAGAGATTTCTGTCTGTCTGTCGTCTGTCACCTGATGTGTGAAGGGTTTTGTTTTAGTAATGACATTTGGTTGTTTTACAAAAATACAATTGACATTTTCTGGATTATGACTAGTAGATAGTATCTACCGTAGTATCAGAATAAAGTCATTCTGGTATATTATTTATAATGTCTATGATCCCTCTGTTTTGCCCTCTGTTGAACATCTGCGTCGCGAGAGATATGTCAATGCAAATTAATTGTCATACACTGTAATATTGGTATGAGTAGATTATGCATTTTGCCCGTTTAGTCAAATTGTTTTAATTAGTTTATGCATGAATGCTCCTGGTGGATATTCATATATAGCTTGTGAGACATATCCATCCATTTCTTTCTTTGTATTTACCTGAATAAAGTGAATTCCAGTTGCTTTTGAGTCCAACATTTTGAAACTGGTATGACAAATATGAGTCTTCTGAATTATTTTACTATTGCAAACTTTTGGTAAACAGGTACTCAACATACTGTGTTCTGTGTTTTCCACATTAAGTATATTTCCTGATCAAAGATATTATTTTAAAGGGGACCTATCATGCAAAATGCACTTTTTGATGTCTTTTATACATAAATATGTGTCCCCGGTGTGTCGGGGAAGTCACTTAGCATCAGAAAATAAAACCCTCTCTCTTTTCCTCCGTACCCAAATCTCTAAAAACGGGGGAACAACGGAGCTGATCCAGATTTGCGTCTGATATATCTGAAATGTAGGCTGGCTTTACACCCACGGCCCTATCAGAAACAATGCCCGACTGTTTTGGACGTAATATGGTCGGTTTATGTTTACATTAGCATCGCTAACACTCAGAGCTAACCTGTACTGGAGAGCATGTGTGTGAAGAAGCAGGAAATAAAAAGGAACTCACCTTGTGGTATAACCGGCAAGAGAGAAAGCCTTTGAGCTCCAAAGTGTTTCAGAGAGAATCCTTGATAATCCATGATATGGCGTTTCATCACGGCAGTATTTAGTTTAGACAGTAGCTGCCGGGTCCCGCATGAGCTCAGCCCCCTCCTTTTTTATTTTTAAAGCTTTATACCCCAAATCAGCACTTTTGAAACAGGAAGTGAAATAGAGGGATATGAGGCATGGCTAGAATGGGTGATCTGTTTGGTATTTTGAGTAAAACACTTCATAGACATGTTTTTTTATATATCTGAGACCTATGCTATTGCCTAAAAATAGCATGATAGGTGACCTTTAAATTACATTTAGTGAGTATTTTCACATTTAATTTGTGACCTCTGTGGTCAGGGTAACTTAATCACTTTTATTTTCCTCCTTTTGAAAGAGAGGTGGATCATCACAGCAGCTAACCTGTGTTTCTGAGACAAAAGAAGAAACAGTCCACTCTGTGAGGGACAGACAGGACAAATGTGAGTGGACAGTATGATTCGACTGGAGGTTATTGACCACTTTTTAATGTCATATTTAATATTATACAGATGAAATGCCACCATGACCAAAGAAGAAGCTATAAGCACACTAAGCCTAGGCTAAAAAGATTGCTGTTGGTGATGTTGCTCATCACTTCATAGACTGTTAACTTTCATATACCATTGACCTATTTTGTGAAATCGCATGTTAGTAGGTTTTAAGCTGGTGTTTTGCAGTTTATTAGATATTTGACTGCATTATTCTGCTGCCTAAACTTCAGAGTTACAAGTCGACGAGACGTGTAATTGCAGCACATAGCAACTGTTAAAAAGCATCCTTGGCAGCATTGTATTTTCATATAGCCTACATTTAACATGTTTGCAACACAGAATCTGTTCCCATTATGTTCTCATTGGTTATAGAGAGAAGACAAAAAAGATCAAGCTGGATATTTTTTCCTTATTAGCAAAATAACACAATTTAACATTTTCTTCTGAGGATATGTTTAGAATAAAATAATGCAGGAAAAACTCATTTCAGTTAAAAACATTATTATACAGCGTTATTCTTCCACCGGATTAAATCCATTGTCAAGATATTACTCTCTTACGCATATTCTATGTTAGCAATGGAGGACAAAACATTAAAATACCTTTAATACATCATATTTTCCTGGCCTCCATGAAGTGGATAAACCATTAAAGCACCTGACAGTAATTTAAATGTATATAGAGGCATGCAAGGATCATTTTAAGACATTCTTGAAAAAATTGCGAACCTTCCCTTTAATTTCAATCACCACCCATGTTTGATATCACCACTGGATGGCACTGAAGCCCAGACGTTAACTTCAAAGACTTCCTAATGATATAAATTGATTAAGCGCTTACCTGAAATGTGAGTCAAGCATTACTTCACAGCCAGCTGAACGCTTTTTGCCGCGAGGAAGTGAGGCGGATGCAGCCACGGCGGCACGTGGAAATCCCCCTTTGTGGTCGACTCGAATTCCAGTCCAGGGTTAGACTGAACCAGCCTGGAGGTAATGTCACACACACACACACACACACACACACACACACACACACACACACACACACACACACACACACACACACACACAGACTGCAAAACCCCAAAGCGCAAACTGGTATATATAAAGAATAATAGGCCTACAAGTTGACCTGTGTACCTCAGTGATGCATCCATACAAAAAATGCAGAGTTTGACTCCACTTGAGCAATTAAAATGTTGTGCATGTCTCACGCAAGAGAAGGGAGGTGAGAATAGGATTTTGCTTTGGTGAATGGACTGTATTTGTTAAGCATTTGACATTTGCAAGTCAGCATTCACCTATTCACACACATTCAGACAGAGGCTGCCACACAAGGTACCACCTGTTCAGGGAGAATACTAGGCCCAATTCCAAACTGACCCCTACACTTCCACTGAGAATAGATTAAACCGCCGTCTCCAGTAAATAAAGCTCCCTTTCCTAAGGTGTTGGATGTAAATACAGCGGCAAACTTTGGTACGAACTCTTCACTCTTTCGACAAAGCAGGAACTGTCGTAACTTTTCATAACCATGGTTAAGAATGAGCATTTCTCTGACAAAAAAAAACATTGCAATAGGGCCATATTCACACAGTTAGCCATGCCATCTTTGTATCTTGC